CCCCAAAACCCCAAAACCCCAAAACCCCAATATTTGTATAAAATCTTGAAATGTTGTTTTAAGTGAAGTCTCTGTGACAAAATTTATAGTTTGGAGATAGCTTGATCACCGTCTTCTTCAGGCTTAGTGGTATCCATATCCTTCTTCGAATCAGTCATTAACTCGGTGCATTCTCTCTCCTTAATAGTTCCCTTCTGAGTTACTGAAATATGGGTCTGCTGTTTGCTTGGTGGTTGAGGTTTTTGTGAACTTGGTTTACTGTCATCCTTGGAGACAATGACTTCTTGCCCATAGGCCATTAATTCCTCCATTTCTTTATTTGTGGTGACTTCATCATCAGTATCGTCATTAGCTTCGACTTGCATTGTATTGGTCAGATAGGTTGGCTTTAATTTCCTTGCGATTTTCATATATTTTTCAAGCTCTTTATCAAGCTCTTCCTCTAATTTTTGCTCATCAGAAAGTTCATGAGAAGACTTTTGTTTATTAGATAGCTTTTGAGAAGACTCTTGCTCTTCAGAGAGGTACTGAGAAGATTTTTGTTCTTTTTTGTTCTTGTCTTCACTGAGTTTTGCAACAAAATCTTTCCTTTTAATAGGTTTCGTAGGTTTAAGTATTCTCTTTTGAAGATCGATCGTTTGTGGCTTAGTATCCTTCTTTTCTACAGAACTCTTCCTTTCTTCCCTTAAATCTGGATGATGTTGTATTTTATAGTGTTTACGCCTTCTATAATTTCTCTTTCTTCTATGATCACTCTCATTCTTCTCTTTTTTGCTTTTCTCTGAAGAATTCATCCTATGACTACAGAGACTTCTTTCGGGTACCTTTCTTTTTCTGTCACGACGGTTAGATTTTCTCTTAGAGATATCTTTGTTATCTCTCTTGTTTCTATGTCTCCTGGAAGGACTCCTATAATTCCTTCTTGTGGTCTTTCTAACTCTGTATTCTTCACGTTTTCTCTTAGTCATTTTCACTTAAAAATATTCAATCAGAATTATACTAAAAGGGGTTTTGGGGTTTTGGGGTTTTGGGGTTTTGGGG